ACACATCAATCCCCCCCCCCCAAAACACTGGGAAGTGCCCTTCAGGTCACACAACTTACAGAACTGCGGCTATGTACAAAGGGAGTACTCAGATGGGGCCACCCTCTCAAGGCTGTCTACACCACCACTTGCCACCCCGGCTGATGACTGCCATGGTGGTTTAATGAAATAAAAGCCACTTCTCCTGAGTCCAGAGCCCTGTAACCTGGCATGTGGCTCCTCGGGCAAAGCCACTGCAAGACCACAGACAGAACTTGGCCACCATCCTTCCAGCTCCCCGTGGTTGAAAGACTAGGACCGTAGCCCCTGCACCTGGACAAAGGCCATTAGAACAATTAAGAGAAGACAAGTTTGTGATAAACTAAGTAGAAGTTATTTCTATTAGGCAGGGAGGCAGAAACTGAGAATGGATTTGATTTGAGAAGTATGTGTGAGAAGGAAGCGTGGAGCACCCCAGGTGGCCGATCAACCAGCGCTTTCCAGGGCTCCTGTTGCCTGCTCCCTCCAAGAAGGCAGAATTGCGGAGGCTGCAGTGACCATGAGTGAGCCTCGGGCTCCACTGCGCCATACTGTGCATAGCAGATTCAGTGAACCCACTGACAACTGGATGGAAGGAACTGAGAGAGCCCTGCCCAGACCATCTGCCACTCACATGCCAGATGGCAAGTTCAGTCTCAAGTAAACGCCGCCCCAGGAGATTGAAGACAGACGCAGAGCAGGAAGCCGCAGCCACAGTCCACTAAGCTTAGTGCATGGGGTGCAGCTCCCCAGGCAGCTTCCCAAGTGCATGATCCTGTTTCTGCCCCAGGGGACAGGGAGGTAACAGATAGGCTGTGGGGATTCCAGATGCAGTCTTTAGGGTGATGGGGCACCACCACGGGACATTGGCCGGGTTCACTATCTCAGAGACCAACTGGAAAGCCAAGTGCCCCTTGTTGCTCCGCGAGCGCCCAGTGCAGAAAGTTACCTGGTGGAGGCGTCTCTACCGCTAGCTTCTCCCTCTTGGGCGCCTTCTTGGGCTTGATCGCCCTCTTGGGAGGCCTGGGCTCCTGCGGGTGCAGCTCCCGCTCCTCCTCCCCCTCCTCCTCCTCCTCCCCGGGGCCTTTGGGCAGCGGCGAGGAGGGCTCTGGCTGCGGCTCTGGGCGCTCATTGTAGCGCCCGGGTCTCCAAAGTTCCTGTTCGTAGTAGCCGGGCTCCTCGAGGGATGAGCCCTGGGCTTTGACCCCGGCCAAGGCCACAGCCACGAGTGCCAGGGCCAGCGCCCGCGAGGCGGTCCCTGGGCAGGCCATGCCCGCTCCGCCCCGCGCCCTGGGCAGGGTCCGGATCTCCAGGAGCCGCGGGAGGGTTGCAGATGTGGACGGCGGCTTCGGACCGGTTGCAGGAGCTGCAGCAGGGCGTGGATGGATGCAGCGGGCTAGGGCGGGTGGGACAGGCTGGCCGGGCGGGGCTGGGCGCGGGGAGGGGGGGTGCAGGGGCGCGGCGAGGCGAGGAAAGGCGAGAGTGGACCCGCCCTCCCTCCGTCCCGCCCCACCGGGCCTTCCGGGCAGGTGCTGGAGGCCCCTTCCACCCTGGAACTGTCTCCAGCCTTTCCTGTCCCTCTAGCCGGTGGCATGCTATCCTGCTGGGCGCCTTTTCTGCAGGCTCCAGGCATTGGCATCTTGGGAGGGAACTTCGAGGCTGTCTCATTCATTTTACAGGTGGGCAAACCTGAGATTACTAAAGCAGGTAGAGACAGCTGCATGGCCTCCAGTCCAGGCATGAGCCCTGGGTTTCCTGGTTGAAGTTCCCTGGGAGCCAGGCATAGAGGCCTGAAGATTCATGTCCCCCATCCTCTAGAATGTTTTTCTGTTAGAGAGAATGGACCCACCCAGGAGCTGCCATCCCACCAGTTAGAGGAGGGCATCTGGCTCTTCAGGGAGCAGGCTGGGTTACTTCCCTTTAAGAAAGTGTCCCCCACCCTTAGACAACTTATGCTAGTTTTCTCTTAGTCTTCTCTTGGTGGAGTGGAAGCCAGGAGTCCCAGCTTCTCTCCAGGCTGAGACGCTGGGGACTCAGAGTCTGCACTGGTGTTCTATGACTCCTCTAACAGATTGCGACAAATTTAGTGGCTTAAAGCAAGAGACTTAGTACCTGGCAACTCTGGATTAAATGTCTAAGGCAGCAACCACCAGGCTAAGGTCAAGGTATGGCAAGGGGGGTGGGGGGAAGCTCAGGGAAATAACCCTTTTCCATGGCCACTCAGGGTCAGCTCCTGGCGCTGGTAGACATGAGGCCCATGTGCTCACTGGCTACCACAGCTAAGACAGTGCTTCACTGCTTGCCCGCTTTCTGCTTTGTGTGATTCCCAGGGTCCAGCAGGTCTCTGAATGGGACCCTGCATCTCAGAGCAGTACTCACAGGTCAATGCCACAGCTCAAACCCTCCCCACTTCTCTCCCTCTAGCTGGGGAAAGTTCTCCGCTTTTAAGAGTCCATGGGATTAGGAGGGCCTCTCAGATGACCCAGGACTGGTATCCCTCTAGAAGTAGTGATCATCAGTCAGTTCTATACTCAACTTACAGGCTCTAGGGATTCAGTACTTATGTCTATAGGCCATGATGCCTGCCACAGGGGCAACTGGCCCTCAGGTCCTGGGTCTGTCTGTCCCTGATGGCCTGGAATATGAACCCAGAATGCCTCTGGGCTGAACCTGGACACTGAGATAAGGCCTTCCCATTCACTTGGGAGGGGAGTCACATGTCTGAGCCCCCAAGTGTCAGGATGTGGACAGGACAGATGCCATTCCCTGCCTTGGCCTCCCGCCTTTGACATCTCACTGTCCCCATTCAGACCACTCAGCCAGTCTTTGGATTGCTGTTTTAGAGGTTCCAGGTAGAAGAGCATTCCAAGAGGATCCTGCAGACTGACACAAGTCCCATGGGGGATTGTCAAACACCCAGGACACTCTAGAACCAACCCAGAGCCAGTACCGGTCTCCAGAGTGAGAGAAGAGAGGGCTTCATCCTCCTCTAGTGTTCCAGGCAGGCCTTGGGTTGGGCTGGATCCCATCAGCCCTCCTCTGTATTTGAGCTCTCCTGGAGCTCACTCACTGACAGGGGCGACTTCATCTTCAACCAGCTCCTCCAGGCAAGAAGGTGAGTGTGGGGACTTGAGTGACACAGAGGAAAGAGGCTCCAGCAGCAAGCCACACTCAGGTCCCAGCTAGCTAGATGAAGCCTCACAAGAGATCCATCTGGGATCCTGACCAGAAGAGCCACACAGATTACCCAGGCCAGCTGCAGACAGACACCAGGTCCATCCAGACTTACAGAGCCTCCTGAACACTAGGCTCAAGCACCAGAAGAGCTACCAAGCTCTTTGCAGAATTCTGACAGTCGAAATTTAAAGGTATCCTTCCCTCTCCTTCTATGGAATAGGTTTGGGCCAGTCACCCCAAGAAACACAGCAAACTGGTGATGCTCTAGATGAAACCCCACTTGATTGATTCAGTAGTTAGAGCACAGTAAATCTTGGAAGCCTCAAACCTTCAAGTTGTGAAAGCATTTTATTCCTTCTCTTGGCAACTGCAAGGTCAATAATAGACCATACATCTGCACTGCAGCATCTTGGAAACTTCCAGAGAATACCCAACTGAAAGTGGCTCTCCGTATGTCCCTGAAATCAGGAAAGGAGTCCCACTCATCCTGGATCTCCCTACTAATGCTCATTTGTTTGTTTTCCCTGGAGAGGCATGTAATTAGAGAAGGCAGCACAAACAGAGCAGGATGGATTGCACGGTGCCAGTTCTGTAGGGTGGCAACCAGCAGCACAGTTCCTTGAGGATCCTTTGTCTACTCCTCTCTGGTTGCCAGCTTGGAAGCTTGTGGCACTCAGTCAAAAGTCACAAAGTACAGAGAGCTCAGCTTTGCTCTCTGGTTCTCCTGGTCTCAAGTCTCTTCCTGCTTTCCAGCGTCTGCCTGCCTTCCAGGAGGGTCTCTACCTTCTCAGCTTCCCAGATGAAGGCTTTCCATCCCACCTTAGTCTTGTCTCTCCTCTCTCTATCCTTAAATAGCTACCAGAAAGTCCCCGGCCTCTGAGGCACATTATTCTTTGCAAATTTTTGTTTGTTTTGAAGCAGGGTCTCTTGTAGCCCAGGCTGGTCTTGAATTCACTATGTAGCCAAAGATGATCTCGAACTCCTGATCCTCCTGATGCCACCTCCCAAGTATTGGGATTGCAGGCATGCACCGCCAAGTCCAGTTCGCCACCAAGCCCAGTTTTATGCAAAGTTGGAGAATGAGCCCAGGGCTTCACGCATGCAGTAGGGTCTCTACCAACTGAGCTACATCCTAGTCCTAGTGTATCATTCTTTAACTTACCTCCTCCTTCTCCTGCCAAGAGTTTAATAGTTCCTCATTCTGAGTTCCATGCCAGCTTACTGGAATACCTGCTCACTGGGTCTCCCTGCTTCTGACCCTGGGTCCTGAAGGACACTGTTCACTGGAGGCTCCCCACTACCTTTCAGGTCCAATGGTTTTCTCTTAATGAAGACTCCCTATAAGTCCAAGCCCTCTAAATGAGACCTCAGGCTCACCACTCTCAAACTTAGTCCTCTCCACCCTCCACCCCCACCCCCCAGTGGGTGACCATGGTAAGACCTACTGTTAGTGACCTCCGGCACGGCTTTTATAGGCTCTTTATAAATGTAATTACGATAAACTGCTAATTTTACATTCTCTGCAGAAACCAGGAGAACACACAAAAAAAAGAGGAGGTCCTCGTTGCATGACTAAACTTGACTAAGATCTTTCATAGACTCAGCCAGACAGGATTTTTCTCTGAAACTGTTTTGTTCTTAACCTCACAATGTATCTATTTGACACTAGTCTGAGACCAAAAGGAAGGGCTGGAGCATCTTCTAGAGTCTCAGTGGAGCTTGATAAAGTATGGGCTCTTTGGGGGTAATAGCCATGAGACAAATGGCTTTCCACTTTGGGGGGCAGCCACTGAGGAAACAGGAGAACCAAGATGGCAGCTCAGGTCCCTCCTGGTTTCCGAGTTTGTCACAGGCTCATTGCTTGCTTTGTTTGAGAATCTGTTACTATATTTCTGTTAAGTGTGGTAAGCCAATGTTTGTCTGTTCATCCATCCCTAAAACTCAGGATGCCATTAAGCCAATTTCTGTTATATAACATAAATCTGTACTTGTCAAATAACCCTCAAACACCTTACACAGCTAAGAATGTTCAAATATTTATGAGCCTTGCAGAGGCGATTTATGTTAAGCTGCTTGACAAGGAACAAGGGACTGCAGGTCTGCAGAACATTCTGTTGAAACAAATATTGTCAAGACATCAATACCTTTATAACATTTTTTTCCATAATGGACTTTCACACCTGCTCATTTCCCTAATTACCCCCAAGACTGTTACTCTTTCAGAGAGAATGAAAATGGTATTTTTTGAAGGATCAGTAATTTGAAAAATTAGCTGCTATATAAAGAGAAATGCATACCCAGGCACAGCCCACTTCTAAAAATACAGTCTGAAGATGGATGCTTGGGGAGAAAGATACCGAGTTGTCATGGCAACTATGATTATAATTATGATGCCGGAGGGCTTTTCCTGTTGATTACTATATTGAGATATGGTGGTTTAAATGGCATTGTCCTTTGTAATTTGCTCAACCTCATTACTACTTAATTATCCGTTTCATATTTAATCTTCAACATGTTTGTTCTTATCTCTATGCCCAGTAGATTTGGCATCTTTTGATAAGTCTTATTCTTAGTTCATGGCTCTCCCTTGCAACTCAGCTTTCTTCTCTTTCTGTGATTCCATTTTCAACTTAACCTTTGGGGAAACTTGCTTGGGCATAAGCTAGTCCATTTATATACAAGACACTGTTGTGAAAGCTGTTGAGAAACCACCCCAACAGACACATGGGGAGATGCCTGACTCAGGACAGTCAGTACCCACTGGGCTTTCTTTGTATCCAGCATGTTTTGATCTCCTACTATGATGCAATGGTTACTTTTTTCTTATTGCTAGGACCAGTTACCTGACAAAGCAACTTAAAGGAAGAAATACTCATTTGGCTCACAGCTTGAGGGGACATGATGGTCCATTGTGGCAAGGAGGGCAGGGCAGCAGACAGCAGAAGCATGTAGCAGCTGCTTGTTCACATCTCAGCAGAATAAGAAATATAAATCGGACAGGAAGCAGGGCAGGCTATAAACTTAAAGGCTTATCCCCAGTGACCTGTTGAAACAGATATTGTCAAGACATCAATTTATAACATCTCATGTTCCACAACCACCCAAAACAGCACCAGTAGCCGGAGACCAAGTGTTTAAACACATGACCTCATGGGAGACATTTCACATTCAAACCATAATTAGCT